AGATTCAAAGCACAGCTATATGATTACTTTACTATTTTTATAAGAAGCAAAAGAGTTCTTAAAAAGTAGAGGCTAGTAAGTACCTGGCAGATATGGTGAAACTGAAATCTGGGCAGGCAAAATTAATACTAAATGAGACTGAATTTTAAGTTTAGACCATGAATAGGTGGAAGAGAGATGGGATGTAGTATAACGACAAGGGGTGCAGTGCATGTATTTTATGTGTGATCATCATTAACCTTAAACCATTACTTATGCGCAGATTAAGCTTCAAAGATTCAAGAAGGCATCAGTTTGTCATAACCCAATGAACTAGGTATCAGACTTCCACTTTAAAACTAGGAATGCCAGAGAAAAATAGTAGGACATTTCTCTTATATTTCCATTCATTTTTTTAGCATGTATTCATTGTGCAAAATACTGAGTTTCATCATACCATTTTGCCCCACCTTGGCCACTATTCCCTATCCTCTTCTCAAATAGGATCCCTGCTATTTTCATGCTTTTATTAAAACACAGATTCCACATCTAAATACAATGGGCTATTTCTGTTTTTGAACCTAGTTGATTTCACTAAACACAATGATTTTTGGTAACATCTCTTTTCTTACCAAAAAAACATATAAAAGAAAGAAACTGAACACAAGTCAAAGACTAAGTGAATGGGATATTCCATAAATACAACAAGGAAAAATATATCTCTACTATCTAGACAATAAATAAAGATGAGGAAGCATTTCTGGAAGACACCGATAACCGAGATATCCAGGCATAGATGAAGCAAAAATCCCAAGCCTCCAGCATATAAGTAAGCTAGAATCCCAGCTCAGACTGCACACACTACCCACATATCACACCACACACACACACACACACACACACACACACACACACACACACACACACACACACACACACACACATACACAGAGGCAGGGGAGGAAGGGAGAGAGAGAAATAGCATAGAAAATTGCCTATCAAAACAGTATACATTTAACATAAAAACAAAGTATTTCACAAAAATTCATAACCATTTGCCCATCTTTATACATTTCCAACCCAAACTAACACTATCTGCATGGTATTTGAAGAATTTCAAAGCAAGAATTGCTGATAAATGTTTGCAAATTGTAAATGCTCTGAGTCTCTGATGACATGAGGCATATTATTTTTGAAAATATTTTTAGGAAAGAAAAACATTAAAGATAGAAACAACAATTATAGTAGCAAGCCCCTATTTGCAAAGAAACAACAAAAAACCTCTAGTGAAGACAAGAAAAACCATAAAAGATACAATAATGTTCTTAATGATTTCAGATGTTAGAGTTATTAAACCCATAAAATAGTGTGGGTTATTAAGTTTATAAAAAAATTCAGACGGAGTGAAAAAAATAATATGAAGCAAAGAGAGTGAGCTGGTTAGATTTTTGTCAGCTTGACACGAGCTGGAGTAATTTGGGAAGAGGAAATCTCAAATGAGAAAATGACTGAGTCAGATTGGCCAATAAAGCAAGTCTGTGGGATAGGGCAAGATCATGGCAATGGAGGCAGCGCCACCTGTAGGTAGGTGGTCGTGTGTGGCATAAAAAAAGAAGCTCATGAGTAAGCCATGAGGAGCAGCCCAATAAGAAACATTCTTCTATGTTCTCTACTTCAGTCCCCAACCTTAAAGTTCCATCATGAGTTCTTGCTCTAACTTCCCTCAAAGACGGACTGAACCTTCCAAGTGCAATAAATCTTTTCCTTCCCAAGTTGCTTTTGATAATGGTCTTTATTACAGCAATAGAAAAGGGAAATAGGATAGAGACTTCATATAATTTATTAAATCTGAAGACAGCCAAAGGTGTAATGTGGACAACAATTTATTTATATATACATTCCCATATGTACACATGAATAAGTGTGCATGTTTCACACAGTACTGATACTATACATTACAGTCTAATTACAGAACTTCCAAACAATTTTATTAAAGTATTTTATTTATTCGTTGATAATTTTGTATGTGTACATACTATATCAAGAGCATTTCCAACCCAAATTACCCCTCCCACTCTAGCTGAGCCCTCTTCTAAATGCTTCTCTCTCCTGCCTTCATACCTTCTTTAAAAAATTATAACTATAAACTATCTAGTGCATGCACATGTGAGGCCTTTCATGGAAGCATGGGAAACCTATCACTCAAGGAAAAGTGGCTCTCCTAGCAGCCATCAACTGTCAATACCTGGGATAGAACCACATGACTCTCTCCCCAGTGCATGATGGGATACTAACTGAATCAATTCTATGCAAGTCTCCCTCAGGTAAAGACAGCTGTTTTGAGTTCATGAATGCAATAGCCACAAAACATCCAGAATATGATATTTTACAGCATCCTTTCCCCATCCTCAGACTCTTGCATTCTTTTCTGCCTCCTCCTCCATATTCATTGGACCTGGGTGCAAGACATTCATAGAAATGGCCCATTTAGATCTCAGCACTAAAAGGCATTTATTCTTTGCACTTTGACTAATTCTGAGTTTCTGTGTTGAGTGTTCCTCACTGCATAAAGAGACTTCTCTAACTAAGTTGAAAGAACTAACCTATGGGTAAAGACTTAACTATTAAAGAAGGAAGTTTGACAACATATCTCTCAGTAAGTTCTTTCCTAGGGCATATAATCTCTCCATTCCTGGAATCCTAGCCAGGTTTAAAGTATCAGGAATTAATTCCCTCCATTGGAGTAGGCCTCAAATCCAATGAAAAGGTGTTTGGTTACCCCAAACGGCCATTCTTACTATAATGCCAGTAGCTACACATTGCCTACCATGTAGGTATTGTAGTAGGCAAGGTCAACCACTGGGTTTATCAGTGGATAATCTTTCTCCTCTAG